ACCGGTTGCATCGCATCATTGTGGGAGCTTGCTTGTATCTGGGACGCCGTTTGTCTAAGTGTGTGTGTGCATAAGTGTGTATGTGTGTGTGTGTGTGTGTGTGTGGTGTTTGATTGAGTGCATGCATGTGTGTGAGGGGTGTCATAAAAGTGATCGTTCTTTTATACAGGCCGTTCATACAGGCTTCGCACTCACACACACACACACACACACACACACATGCACGCATATACGATGAGACTGTCGGTCCAGCCGGACTGCTCAACACTGGTCGCCAGACGTGTGAAAACCCGGCAACTCAGGGCCTCAACAACCAGGCAACCTGTTAAGCCGTGCTAATCAGCGGGGCTGGAGAGACAATCGGTTCGCGGATGAACCGAGAACACGTAGTCCAGACTCGAGGCGAGAAGGGGAAATGCGATGAGCTTCATCAACGCCCGGACGAACAGTTGTAGGCACTGCAGACGCGAAAGAAGCGGTTTCATGTGTGTGTGTGTGTGTGTGTGAGAGAGAGAGAGAAATCGAGAGCGGTGGCGACAAAGAAGGCGCTTAGTTACTGTTCTGCAGCGAAGAGTGGAACGGGGGAAGACGGGTTGGGTCCGAGGTTGTTACAGAAACCGGCCAGTTGAGACGACAGAGTCTGCTCTCTCTTGACCTGATCGGATCAGACGACCAACCTATTTAAAGGCGTCATCGTCTATTTCGCTTTCAATTGTCGCTTCTTGCCTCACACTCACATTCACACTCGCACATACGCACACGCACACGAAGGCACAGACGCGGCTCTGTGAGATGTCACGATCGGATCATACTCCTCCTCCGCTTCCGCCGCCTCCTTCCGCCGACCCGCATCCGCTGGCGGATCTCGGCGCCGATCTCGCGATCACAGCCAACTGGATCTCGCTCTTCTCCGCCGGCCAGTGCCAGCTCGTCCTCGACGAGGCGGACGAGGCCCGTGCAGAAATGGCGGCTCGTCTGTCCGAGTCGCCCACTCGCACGGTCGCCTGGCCGCCTCCCCTCGGCCTCTCCACCCCCCTCGGACGCGTCCTGGCCCACATGATGCCCAGCTCAGAGTCCCACTACATCTCCACATCCACATCCACATCCACATCCACCTCCACGCCCACGCCCGCGTCTCATTCCGGTTACGGCTACGACTACGGCGACGGCGACGGCGGCGCTTCTGCTTTTCACAGTTTCCTCGATTCTCCAAACCGCCTCGTCGGCCCGCCCCGTTCTTGCAGATCCACAGCGCCCGAGTCGCTCGTAGACTCGACCCACTCGTTCGAGCTTTCGGCAGTCTCTTCTGCCTCTCATCTGCCGGCCGTCTCGCTGTCGGCCGACTGGTCCGGCCGGCTGGCGCTGGCTCGTCTGGCTCCGGTCGACGCCATCTCGCCCCGGCCACGGCCGTCACCGGTCTCCATTTGGAGGCCGTACCTTGACGACACGCAAATGGCCTCCACCCAATCGGGGCCTCTTTGCACAAACGTAAGTCACCTTCTATATATATGCCACATGTCACACATGCACAGCCGAAATATTTTTCGTGTGAAAGTAAATCAAATTAATTGGATGTATTCACCATATTTTGTTGACAGTCGAATTTCCCATTAAGCATATGAGTAGTGCTGTGGTTTCCAGGCAATTTCACACCTTTAGGAATTGCGAACCTATGTGAAATTAAATTGCAACTTCAGCTCTACAGAAATTGCATAAACATATGTCAAAAAATGTTTTGATTACAACTAAGTATTACAGACTAGCCTATTTCCTTTGGCTTCTAACAAATCATAAACCGAATGCGTATGCTTCCCTATTGCCACAACATTTTAATGGGTCGCATGTGATGTACTTATTATATTGTTTATTTATTTATATAATGTATATACATAAGCAGCCTTTCGAGACTACCACTAGGTCATATATTTCTTTTTTCCCACAATCATACAAATGGACCTTGCGTTTTCATTGAATTTCACATCACCTTTGTGTGATGGCACACTTAGGAAAAGCAGGAATATGGGAAATTTAATCAACTCACATAATTGTTGAAAGGTATGAAGACCAAGATGGTGTGGCCTTTTGTGTGGTCGCAGTCTCCTTTCGTTGTAAAGAAGTTGTTTGACCTTGTTTTCGCAACTTGGTCATGTTGGTAGGAACGCACCTAGTCTGGAGTCCATTGTATACCCGATCGTGGTACATCTCCATTCGTAGCACCATACTAAAATTCGTCAAAGAGACAAGCCCATCCTTTGACCAAACGTGTGCTAAACAGTTGTAGACGTTTCGCCGGTTTCACCAGTTTCATGAATGTCGCTCGAAGGAGCACACCACACTACATTAAAAATAAGCACGGTAAAAATTGTGTGATAGGCTATAGGAAATGTGGATAGGCCAGGGCAGAAGGGGAGATACCACAACTGTTTAGCATACGTTTGGTCAAAGGATGGGCTTCACTTGTCTCTTTGACGAGTTGTAGTGTGATGCTACTAATGACGGACTCACCGACGATGCTGTCGAAACGTCTGGGAATGTTCCACCTGCACGGTCGTACTCTGGAAATGATGATGCATACAATGGAGTCCGGACTGGGTGCGTTCCTCTAAGTCTGCACATAATTGTTATTTTATGCATATATGCTAAATACCCTTTA